CGTTCGGTGGCTTTTTAGCCTCTTGGCACTGGGTGGCGTGCCAGCTAAGAGAACAACAGTCTGGAGTCCGCTGGTTTTTGTTTTGTTTCGAGCCTGCCCGTGCTTATTTTTTATCGCAGTTTTAACACGGCTTATGTCATTTTACACAGGGCTTTCAGATGATAATCCATGCCTCTTCCAGATATTTTAAATTTCGACAAGTAGGTGTGGCAGGACAGGGCAAGCCTTCCAGACCCTCATGGGTCACGCAGAGAGCACCAGTCCTGGATTTGGGAAGAGCGCCAAGAAGGGGTTCCGGATGATGTGACATGTGTTTACCTCCATTCCGAGCGTTGCGAATTTAGAGATTAATTTATTGAACTCACTTCAGACTTACAGGCAAGTTATCGAGCAGCCAGCACTGACGGGAGCCCCCTCCCTAGCCACATGCTGCTGCAAGGGCCCAGGTCATGCCCTCCGGGGCCAGCCAGCTGTCTTCTGTCACCACAGCTGGCAGCGAGGAAGAAGGAGTCACTTTCACTGCATTCCCATCAGACAGCACTGGCTTCCTAAGGTCTGTGAGCAGCACTGAAAAGCAGGGTCTGACTGCATCCTGGGGAAATGCCTGGGCAGATTCTCACCCCCACCAGACAGCGTAGACAGTTTTAGACGTTCTCATCTGAAATACAGGCTTTGTGGCATACAGCAAATTGATTTGGGGAGGACCCTGGGGTACCTTGAAGAGATAGGTAGGTGTTTTCCAGTCGCTGAAAGTTTAGGGCAAAACTAGCAGGGCGCCTGGGTGGCTCGGTCACTGAGGCGTCCCACTCTTGATTTCTGCTCAGGTCATGATCTCACGGTTTGTGCGACTGAGCCCTGCGTTGGACTCCATGTGCTGACGGCACAGAGCCTGCTTGGGATTCTCCGTCTCTCCTTCTCTCTGTGCCCCTCCCCTGTTGATGGTCCCTCTCTGTCAAAATAAATAAATAAACATTAAAAAAAAAAAACCCACTATCAGTGGAAACAAGTGATTGCAAGTGAAATAAAGGCCATAAAGGCAGATGTGCCAAGAACCAGCTAGAACTGAGCTGTGCTCTGCCCTGGCGATTTCTGGTCGACAAGGCAGTAGCCATCTGTCCAGTGCATCCGCCCGTGTCCTGCAGATACAGAGAAAGTCTCTGCCCTCCCCTGCCTCCAACTCCTGCCCCACCCCCATGCCCTGTGGCTCCCCACCCCGTGGGCCTCAACACCATCCAGAATAACAAGGGCCTCCTAACAGCCATCTGCAGGGCTGAGCACTGTGGGACCCCCAGGGGGCGCTATTCACAGCGCAGGAACAGGAGATCTGTGGTTTACTTAGAAAATTCATGGCACTTGAAAGCAAAATGTCTCGAAAGCTGGGTGTCTAATTCACACAAAGGTACCCTATGGGCCACAGGTGGCCTTGATCCAACTAATCCATCATCTCTGGGAGCCCTGTTCTTGGTATAGGGCCCGTTCTCCATTGGTCTGCATACTCCTACCCTCTGCATCCAGCCTTCCCCGGTACATAGTGCATAACCTGCTTTACGGAATACATGCAAGAATTATATACCTCTCCTCCTATGAGCCCTGAATAAGATAATCTCAGTGTCAAAGGGGATCTTGCAGGGACTTGGTATATGCTTCTATAATGGGAATGGCTTGTTTTCTGCCCAACAAGCCCTTCGTTGTATAGATCAAGGGTCATCGAACCCTCTCAGGAAAGGGCTGAGCAGTAAATATTTTAGGCTTTGTAAGTATTCAGCCTCTGTTGCGACTACTCAGTTCGGCCATGTAGTGCACAAGTAGCCAGCGACGGTACATGAATGAAGGAACATCACTGGATTCCAATAAAAGTTTATTTATGGACACGGAAATTTAAATTTCATATACTTTT